AAGATCCGAGTAACATTGCTTCACATTTTATACCGGTACGGATTTCGCAGCTTCCCTGGCTCACAAACGCCCTTATATGGGGACGGTTTTTCATGCGGCGGGCCCGTTTGAAGGCAAAAAGAGCTGGAATCTCGTCCCAAGGTATCTAGGAATGTGGCAAACACGATCGTACTGGGCGGTCCAAGATCCGAGTAACATTGCTTCACATTTTATACGGGTACAGATTTCGCAGCTTCCCGGGCTCACAAACGCCCTTATATGGGGACGGTTTTTCATGCGGCGGGCCCGTTTGAAGGCAAAAAGAGCTGGAATCTCGTCCCAAGGTATCTAGGAATGTGGCAAATACGATCGTACTGGGCGGTCCAAGATCCGAGTAACATTGCTTCACATTTTATACCGGTACGGATTTCGCAGCTTCCCTGGCTCACAAACGCCCTTATATGGGGACGGTTTTTCATGCGGCGGGCCCGTTTGAAGGCAAAAAGAGCTGGAATCTCGTCCCAAGGTATCTAGGATTGTGGCAAACACGATCGTACTGGGCGGTCCAGAATCCGAGTAACATTGCTTCACATTTTATACCGGTACAGATTTCGCAGCTTCCCGGGCTCACAAACGCCCTTATATGGGGACGGTTTTTCATGCGGCGGGCCCGTTTGAAGGCAAAAAGAGCTGGAATCTCGTCCCAAGGTATCTAGGAATGTGGCAAATACGATCGTACTGGGCGGTCCAAGATCCGAGTAACATTGCTTCACATTTTATACGGGTACAGATTTCGCAGCTTCCCGGGCTCACAAACGCCCTTATATGGGGACGGTTTTTCATGCGGCGGGCCCGTTTGAAGGCAAAAAGAGCTGGAATCTCATCCCAAGGTATCAAGGAATGTGGCAAATACGATCGTACTGGGCGGTCCAAGATCCGAGTAACATTGCTTCACATTTTATATGGGTACAGATTTCGCAGCTTCCCGGGCTCACAAACGCCCTTATATGGGGACGGTTTTTTCATGCGGCGGGCCCGTTTGAAGGCAAAAAGAGCTGGAATCTCGTCCCAAGGTATCTAGGAATGTGGCAAATACGATCGTACTGGGCGGTCCAAGATCCGAGTAACATTGCTTCACATTTTATACCGGTACGGATTTCGCAGCTTCCCTGGCTCACAAACGCCCTTATATGGGGACGGTTTTTCATGCGGCGGGCCCGTTTGAAGGCAAAAAGAGCTGGAATCTCGTCCCAAGGTATCTAGGAATGTGGCAAACACGATCGTACTGGGCGGTCCAAGATCCGAGTAACATTGCTTCACATTTTATACGGGTACAGATTTCGCAGCTTCCCGGGCTCACAAACGCCCTTATATGGGGACGGTTTTTCATGCGGCGGGCCCGTTTGAAGGCAAAAAGAGCTGGAATCTCGTCCCAAGGTATCTAGGAATGTGGCAAATACGATCGTACTGGGCGGTCCAAGATCCGAGTAACATTGCTTCACATTTTATACCGGTACGGATTTCGCAGCTTCCCTGGCTCACAAACGCCCTTATATGGGGACGGTTTTTCATGCGGCGGGCCCGTTTGAAGGCAAAAAGAGCTGGAATCTCGTCCCAAGGTATCTAGGATTGTGGCAAACACGATCGAACTGGGCGGTCCAGAATCCGAGTAACATTGCTTCACATTTTATACCGGTACAGATTTCGCAGCTTCCCGGGCTCACAAACGCCCTTATATGGGGACGGTTTTTCATGCGGCGGGCCCGTTTGAAGGCAAAAAGAGCTGGAATCTCGTCCCAAGGTATCTAGGAATGTGGCAAATACGATCGTACTGGGCGGTCCAAGATCCGAGTAACATTGCTTCCCATTTTATACGGGTACAGATTTCGCAGCTTCCCGGGCTCACAAACGCCCTTATATGGGGACGGTTTTTCATGCGGCGGGCCCGTTTGAAGGCAAAAAGAGCTGGAATCTCGTCCCAAGGTATCTAGGAATGTGGCAAATACGATCGTACTGGGCGGTCCAAGATCCGAGTAACATTGCTTCACATTTTATACGGGTACAGATTTCGCAGCTTCCCGGGCTCACAAACGCCCTTATATGGGGACGGTTTTTCATGCGGCGGGCCCGTTTGAAGGCAAAAAGAGCTGGAATCTCGTCCCAAGGTATCTAGGAATGTGGCAAATACGATCGTACTGGGCGGTCCAAGATCCGAGTAACATTGCTTCACATTTTATACCGGTACGGATTTCGCAGCTTCCCTGGCTCACAAACGCCCTTATATGGGGACGGTTTTTCATGCGGCGGGCCCGTTTGAAGGCAAAAAGAGCTGGAATCTCGTCCCAAGGTATCTAGGAATGTGGCAAACACGATCGTACTGGGCGGTCCAAGATCCGAATAACATTGCTTCACATTTTATACGGGTACAGATTTCGCAGCTTCCCGGGCTCAGGGTTTAGGGTTTAGGGTTTAGGGTTTAGGGTTTAGGGTTTAGGGTTTAGGGTTTAGGGTTTAGGGTTTAGGGTTTAGGGTTTAGGGTTTAGGGTTTAGGGTTTAGGGTTTAGGGTTTAGGGTTTAGGGTTTAGGGTTTAGGGTTTAGGGTTTAGGGTTTAGGGTTTAGGGTCTAGGGTTATATTAAAAATTAAAGCAGAGCTGCAACAGCCCACCACGCGAGAATTATCGCTCGACTTGGGTGCGAGGTGGCGTTTTTAGGAGGCGTTGAGCGTGAGAGGTTCTGTGAGTAGGTGCTGACCAGGGCACAAGGAGAGAAGAAACCCCAGGGGAGGGGCAAGCTCACTGCAAACCGCAAACCGGTTTCGCCCTCGCGGGCATCGTCGGTGCGAACAATGAAAAGGACCCAACACTAGGGGGTCCCCTACCCTTTGTACCAAACCAAGCAAGCAAAAGACGCAGGGGGGAGCGTTTTTGGGGCTCTGCTAGTCCCCAGCCCACATACAACAGCTACACTGATCTCAAACAAATTTCTAAACGCTTATAACTTAATTAAAAATTATAGGCGAATTGATTTTTTCTTGAGCCGGTAGCTTCGGTAGGGCTTGGGACTTCGACGGGCATCCTGCAAAAGCACTCCTGCACCTCCGGAAAGCCAGGCGAGTTGTCGGTCAGACTTGTCGTTGGAAAAAGGGGACTTTTAAGTGGGTGCAACTGCCTGTGAAACACTGTTTTGTTCCGCATTTTGTGGAAAAAATTCCGCATGAGATGAAAATGATAGGGAATGAAGGGTGGGCTGTTCCGCATCTCCCGGTATAATTTCGGCTCCTGGCGATTGAGATTTTCCTCCGAACCCACCAAAAACCGGCGTTTCCGCGAAACAGCGCCGGCGAGCGTGCAGTTGAGCGAATGAGGCGAAAATGGGAGGAGGCGTTGGTAATGATGTTCCGCATCTCCTGGTGCAGTTGCGGTTCCGGGCGAACTCGACTTCCCCTCCAAACCCGCCAAAACCCGCCAAGGGGAGAAATGGCTTGGCAAGCCTTTGGGGTGGGTAGCAGCTCCATGCTGCTGCTCTCCTCTGGTCGTCCTGCAGCAGCGCTTGGGCCAAGCATGGCCAGGGAAGGCACGATGCGAGGGTCGACCGTGGTTGGGGCAATTAAAGCCCACAAACTCGCGGGATCCCTCCGGTGCACCCCGGACATTCCGGGCTGGCAGCGATGATGTCGAGCGGCATCTGAAGGCAGGGGCATGGCGTCTACTCTCCACTCCAGCAGCTGACCAAACCACCACTCCCCTTAATGGGAGGTGATGAGATAGGAGGAGGAGAGGGGGGGGGGGGGGGGGGGGGGGGGAAATGACGGCAGGTGAATGTGGTATCGACGGAAAGGGGAGAAAATTTGTGATGCAATGGCGTTGAAATGACGGCGAGATGATGTCGTATGCAGGCGTAGCATTTTTTTGAAGTTTGCGTTTTTTTTTCTGCCTCTGCTGCTGCCGATTTTTAACGTTGAAGCTGCTGCTATTTAAAATAGTTGCTGCTGCTGTAGTGGGGCGCGTCTTAGGGGGGAGGGGATCTTAGGAGGAGGAGGTGGGGCCCGCTCGAATCTGGTCAAGATTCGCGCCAGAATCTTGACCAGGCTCGAGGGCGCGATCTTGACCAGGATCGCGCCAGAATCGGCGCAGATCCCGGTCAAGATTCGGCCGTCCTGGCGGCCGAATCCCGTCGCGCCACCCACGCAGGGTGATGATGGCGCCGTCCCCCCCTGCCTTGACCGCCGGCGCCTCCTTACAGGGTCGCGTCCTGTTAAAAAAACAGTCGCGACTGCAGTAAAATGAATGCAGCTGCTTTGATAAATCGAGAAAAGCAAAGGTAAGTCCCATGAAAATGAATTCTTGAGCTCTCCACCATCCATAAACGCCACAGCTGCCGGCCTCCAGCTTCTTCCAGCGGGTTGATGCTCACGCCAGGCAGGTTTAGGGTTATATTAAAAATTAAAGCAGAGCTGCAACAGCCCACCACGCGAGAATTATCGCTCGACTTGGGTGCGAGGTGGCGTTTTTAGGAGGCGTTGAGCGTGAGAGGTTCTGTGAGTAGGTGCTGACCAGGGCACAAGGAGAGAAGAAACCCCAGGGGAGGGGCAAGCTCACTGCAAACCGCAAACCGGTTTCGCCCTCGCGGGCATCGTCGGTGCGAACAATGAAAAGGACCCAACACTAGGGGGTCCCCTACCCTTTGTACCAAACCAAGCAAGCAAAAGACGCAGGGGGGAGCGTTTTTGGGGCTCTGCTAGTCCCCAGCCCACATACAACAGCTACACTGATCTCAAACAAATTTCTAAACGCTTATAACTTAATTAAAAATTATAGGCGAATTGATTTTTTCTTGAGCCGGTAGCTTCGGTAGGGCTTGGGACTTCGACGGGCATCCTGCAAAAGCACTCCTGCACCTCCGGAAAGCCAGGCGAGTTGTCGGTCAGACTTGTCGTTGGAAAAAGGGGACTTTTAAGTGGGTGCAACTGCCTGTGAAACACTGTTTTGTTCCGCATTTTGTGGAAAAAATTCCGCATGAGATGAAAATGATAGGGAATGAAGGGTGGGCTGTTCCGCATCTCCCGGTATAATTTCGGCTCCTGGCGATTGAGATTTTCCTCCGAACCCACCAAAAACCGGCGTTTCCGCGAAACAGCGCCGGCGAGCGTGCAGTTGAGCGAATGAGGCGAAAATGGGAGGAGGCGTTGGTAATGATGTTCCGCATCTCCTGGTGCAGTTGCGGTTCCGGGCGAACTCGACTTCCCCTCCAAACCCGCCAAAACCCGCCAAGGGGAGAAATGGCTTGGCAAGCCTTTGGGGTGGGTAGCAGCTCCATGCTGCTGCTCTCCTCTGGTCGTCCTGCAGCAGCGCTTGGGCCAAGCATGGCCAGGGAAGGCACGATGCGAGGGTCGACCGTGGTTGGGGCAATTAAAGCCCACAAACTCGCGGGATCCCTCCGGTGCACCCCGGACATTCCGGGCTGGCAGCGATGATGTCGAGCGGCATCTGAAGGCAGGGGCATGGCGTCTACTCTCCACTCCAGCAGCTGACCAAACCACCACTCCCCTTAATGGGAGGTGATGAGATAGGAGGAGGAGAGGGGGGGGGGGGGGGGGGGGGGGAAAATGACGGCAGGTGAATGTGGTATCGACGGAAAGGGGAGAAAATTTGTGATGCAATGGCGTTGAAATGACGGCGAGATGATGTCGTATGCAGGCGTAGCATTTTTTTGAAGTTTGCGTTTTTTTTTTCTGCCTCTGCTGCTGCCGATTTTTAACGTTGAAGCTGCTGCTATTTAAAATAGTTGCTGCTGCTGTAGTGGGGCGCGTCTTAGGGGGGAGGGGATCTTAGGAGGAGGAGGTGGGGCCCGCTCGAATCTGGTCAAGATTCGCGCCAGAATCTTGACCAGGCTCGAGGGCGCGATCTTGACCAGGATCGCGCCAGAATCGGCGCAGATCCCGGTCAAGATTCGGCCGTCCTGGCGGCCGAATCCCGTCGCGCCACCCAAGCAGGGTGATGATGGCGCCGTCCCCCCCTGCCTTGACCGCCGGCGCCTCCTTACAGGGTCGCGTCCTGTTAAAAAAACAGTCGCGACTGCAGTAAAATGAATGCAGCTGCTTTGATAAATCGAGAAAAGCAAAGGTAAGTCCCATGAAAATGAATTCTTGAGCTCTCCACCATCCATAAACGCCACAGCTGCCGGCCTCCAGCTTCTTCCAGCGGGTTGATGCTCACGCCAGGCAGGTTTAGGGTTGGAATCTCGTCCCAAGGTATCTAGACAGGTGGTCTAGGGTTTTTGAGGAGGAGGAGGATGAGGAGGAGGAGGAGGAGGATGAGGAGGAGGAGGAGGGGGAGGAGGAGGAGGAGGAGGAGGAGGAGGAGGAGGAGGAGGAGGAGGAGGAGAATAAGGACGTGTATGGTGAGAAGTGGGAGGGAGGGAAGGATGAGGAGGGGGGGATGAAGAGGTGGAGCTCGTGGTGGAGTATGTAGAGGGTACGGTTGAGGCGGGAGCGGCGGAGGCGGTGGGGTCGGCAGATCAGGGGAATGAGGAAGAGAAGGATGACGGCGCGGGAAATGCTACGAGGTCGGCAGATGTGGGGAAGGAGAAGGGCGAGGTCGGCGTGGAGGCAACGACGAGAAATGGCCAGGATGAGGCGGCCTGCGAGGGAGGTGGGAAGGTGTCGGTCGACGCTGGCGAAGGGGCGAACAACACGGGCGTGCAGGAGACCGGGGAAGCACCTGGTCGGCAAGGCCCTGAACTAGACGACGTTGAGGAGCTGCGATGGGAGAACTGGTTGTTGCGGGTGGAGAACGCTCGGCTGACGACGTTGCTCGATGCGGAGCGGGCTTGGCTGGACAGGTTTTTTGTTGGGGTCAGTGGACTCGTCGACCACGTTAAAGGGTTGGCCGAGCAGGTCAACGACACCGAGAAGTATGCCGCGGAACAGCTGCGAAATGCGACGGAGGCCATGTCGAAGACCATCACGGGCAACATCACCGGCAGCTTTGACAAAGCGTGGAAGTCGATGAAGACATTCGCGGAACAGGCGACGGAGTGGTTGGAGGACTTTGATAATCCGGAGAGTCGTGTCGCGTATGCACGGGCGTTAGCGGTCTCCGCATTGGCTGAACACGTAGATTCGGTGGTGGGCGATGCAAAGAAGGGGTTGGAAGAGTACGTCTCGAACCACCTTGCCTCCGCGCAGGTCAACATCGCCACCGCTGTGACCGCCAGGCTCGCCGTGCCGCCGCCGCCACCGCCTCATCCCACGCCGCCCGCCATCCCGGAAGAGCTTTTGAAGTCGTTCAAGGCCGACATTATGAAGGCAGTGACGGAGGCCACCCAGCAGTCTTTCGTTGCTTCTGGGATGAAGATGATGACAGAGATGATCGGCACTGTGGCGCTAGGTCGACGTGGGTCGTTGCCTTCGGGCAATGACGCCGATAACGCGCAAAGAAAAACAGCCGAGAAGCAGGGCCATAAGAGGACGGGCGACGGAGATGACAAGGAGAGCTCGAAGCGGAGCAAGGGAGCGGACGGTAGCCGCGGGTCGAAGCGTGCGCAACAGGGCGTGGTCGACCAGCTAAAGACGAAGGCGGGGTGGAAGGTGGTAAGGACGTCGCACAGCAAGGGAGGCGGAAGCGGGGGAGCAGAGGGTGGCCCTGCCGACGGGGTTGCCGCTAACGTAGCTGCTCCGACTGGCCCGCCTTTGGTTGCCGAGCAGACCCATCCTCAGGCGAGCGGTGGGAAAGACGTGACCGACAAGGAGGTGCCAACTGCTTAGGCGGCGAATGATGGCGACTCCGGAACCACCAAGGGACCGTCCGTCGTGGCGGCGGCCAAGCCTGCTTCTGCTACGGTTGCCGGCACGGCCAAGTCGAGTCCACGTAACCCCCTTGCGGCTACCAGCGCGCCTGCCGGCCAGTCGGGTGCGAACAAAGATGTGGAGGCTGCTCCAGCTCCAGCAGCCCCGGCTACCGCCAAGGGCGTCGCGAAGGCTGCTTCGGCTAAGGGTGATGCCGTGGCATCAGCTAAGGCCCCCCCCCCGGTGGTACCCCACTCAGAGAGATGCTCCACCGCATGGAGGCACATAGCAGGGACGTGCAGCAGCATCCCGTGGTCAACGCCGGCCTTCCTGGAACAGCACGTCACTCCGTCACTACGCACGTTGCCGGCAAGTCGTCCGGTGCCCCACCTGCCGCGCCTCCGGTGGCCGCCCCACCGCCTGCGGACCCCAAGTCCGCTTTTCTTCGCGCCCATTTAGGCGCACGCAAAGCAGCTGCTCCGTCAGTGACCCTGCCGGAACTCGGCAAAAGCGCGACGCCGACGTCGGTAAACGTGACCGCACCCACACCAGGTGCATCTGTGGTCGATGTGGCGGCGGAGAAGGGAGTGAGTGCAGCGCTCGCCACCGGCGGCCGCGCAGACAAGCATGCCGACCTCGCTGTCGTCATGGCCCATTTTGAGGCAGCAAAGCGCCCCGAGCACGCCCCTGTTATGGACACGGCGCATGTGGTGCCGTCGGCGACCCACGGAGGGGGTTCGGTGGAGCAGACGGCCGCAACGGCTGCTGTCGCCGAGAGAAATGCTGGACGGAAGGAAAAGGACGACAACGGGAAAGGGAAGGCGATCTCTCAGAGGAGCACGCGGGCGATGTCTGCGGGGAAGTTGATGTCAGAAGAGAAAGGGAAGAAGGCGGAAGGGGAGCAGGACAAGACGGGCGGCAAGGGTAAACCGGCGAAGAAGAAGAAGGCGGAGGAGGAGGACGAGGAGGGCGGCGAGGAAGATAAAGAGCATGGACGAAGGGGTCATGGCATCCGCCGAGACAGGGCTGGCAACGGGCAAGGGTGGGTGGGCGAGATTAAGGTAAACAGACAAAATCGGTACATCGGCAAGTCGAGGGAGAAGATGGAGCTGGCCTATGAGCACGCGATTGCGTTCGTCGTCTACGACGGCTACGTGAGCAAGGTGCTCATGAAGGAGCTCACCGTCTTGAAGCCGGGGGAGTTGGATAAATGGAAGGAGGTGTGGGCGGAGGTCAAGCTCGGTTTGCCCGCCTTCTCACACTTGGCTTGCCCGCCTTCTCACACTCGACTTGCCCGCCTTCTCACACTCGGCTTGCCCGCCTTCTCACACTCGACTTGCCCGCCTTCTCACATTCGGCTTGCCCGCTTTCTCACACTCTGGTTGCCCACTTTCTCACACTCGGTTTTCCCGCTTTTTCACACTCGGTTTGCCCGCTTTCTAACACTCAGCTTGCCCGCCTTCTCACACTCGGCTTGCCCACTTTCTCACACTCGGCATGCCCGCTTTCTCACACTCGGCTTGCCCGCTTTCTTTCACTCGGTTTGCCCGCTTTTTCGCACTCAGTTTGCCCGCTTTCTCACACTCGGCTTGCCCGCCTTCTCACACTCGACTTGCCCGCTTTCTCACACTCGGCTTGCCCGCTTTCTCACACTCGGTTTGCCGGCTTTCTCACACTCAGTTTGCTTGCTTTCTCACACTCACTTCGCCCGCTTTCTTACACTCGCTTTGCCCGCTTTCTCACACTCGGTTTGCCCACCTTCTCACACTGGGCTTGCCCCCCTTCTCACACTCGGCTTGTCCGCTTTCTCACACTCGGTTTGCCCGCCTTCTCACACTTGGTTCGCCCGCTTTCTCACACTCAGCTTGCCCGCTTTCTCACACTCGACTTGCCCTCTTTTTCACACTCAGTTTGCCTAGTTTCTCACACTCAGTTTGCCCGCTTTCTCACGCTTAGTTTGCCCGCTTTCTCACACTCAGTTTGCCCGCTTTCTCACACTCAGTTTGCCCGCTTTCTCACACTCGGCTTGCCCGCTTTCTCACATTAGGCTTGCCCGCGTTCTCACACTCGGCTTGCCCGCTTTCTCACACTCGGTTTGCCAGCTTTTTAACACTCGTTTTGCCCGCTTTCTCACACTCGGCTTCCCTGCTTTTTCACACTCCAATTGCCCGCTTTCTCACACTCGGCTTCCCCGCTGTCTCAGACCCAGCTTGCCCGCCTTCTCACACTCGGCTTGCCTGCCTTCTCACACTCGGCGTGCCCGCTTTCTCACACTTGGCTTGCCCCCTAACTCACATTCGGCTTCCCCGCTTTCTCACACCCAGCTTGCCCGCCTTCTCACACTCGGCTTGCCCGCCTTATCACACTCGGCATGCCCGCCTTCTCACACTCGGCTTGCCCGCTTTCTCACACTCGATTTCCCCGCTTTTTCACACTCGGTTTGCCCGCTTCCTCACACTCGGTTTGCCCGCCTTCTCACACTCGGCTTGCCCGCTTTCTCACACTCGGCTTGCCCGCTTTCTCACACTCGGTTTGCCCGCCTTCTCACACTTGGCTTGCCCGCCTTCTCACACTCGACTTGCCCGCCTTCTCACACTCGGCTTGCCCGCCTTCTCACACTCGACTTGCCCGCCTTCTCACATTCGGCTTGCCCGCTTTCTCACACTCTGCTTGCCCGCTTTCTCACACTCGGTTTTCTCGCCTTTTCACACTCGGTTTGCCCGCTTTCTCACACTCAGCTTGCCCGCCTTCTCACACTCGGCTTGCCCGCTTTCTCACACTCGGCTTGCCCGCTTTCTCACACTCGGCTTGCCCGCCTTCTCACACTCGGCTTGCCCGCTTTCTCACACTCGGCTTGCCCGCTTTCTCACACTCGGTTTGCCCGCCTTCTCACACTTGGCTTGCCTGCCTTCTCACACTCGACTTGCCCGCCTTCTCACACTCGGCTTGCCCGCCTTCTCACATTCGACTTGCCCGCCTTCTCACATTCGGCTTGCTCGCTTTCTCACACTCTACTTACCCGCTTTCTCACACTCGGTTTTCCCGCTTTTTCACACTCGGTTTGCCCGCTTTCTCACACTCAGCTTGCCCGCCTTCTCACACTCGGCTTGCCCGCTTTCACACTCGGCTTGCCCGCTTTCTCAAACTCGGTATGCGTGCTTTCTCACACTCGGTCCGCCCGCTTTCTCCCACTCGGTTTGCCCGCTTTCTCACACTCGGCTTGCCCGCCTTCTCACACTCGGCTTGCTCGCTTTCTCACACTCAACTTGCCCGCATTCTTACCCTCGGCTTGCCCGCCTTCTCGCACTCGGCTTGCCCGCCTTCTTACACTCGGCTTGCCCGCTTTCTCACCCTCGGCTTGCCCGCTTTCTCACACTCCGCTTGCCCGCTTTCTCACACTCGGCTTGCTCGCCTTCTCACACTCGGCTTCCCCGCTTTCTCAGACCCAGCTTGCCCGCCTTCTCACACTCGGCTTGCCTGCCTTCTCACACTCGGCGTGCCCGCTTTCTCACACTTGGCTTGCCCGCTTTCTCACATTCGGCTTCCCCGCTTTCTCACACCCAGCTTGCCCGCCTTCTCACACTCCGCTTGCCCGCCTTCTCACACTCGGCTTGCCCGCTTTCTCACACTCGGTTTGCCCGCTTTCTCACACTCGGTTTGCTCGCTTTCTCACACTCGGTTTGCGCGCTTTCTCACACTCGGCTTGCCCCCCTTCTCACACTCGGCTTGCCCGCATTCTCACACTCGGCTTGCCCGCCTTCTCACACTCGACTTTCCCGCTTTCTCACACTTGCCTTGCCCGCTTTCTAGCACTCGGTTCACTCGGCTTGCCCGCCTTCTCATAGTCGGCTTTCCCCCTTTCTTACACTCGCCTTGCCCGCTTTCTCACACTTGTCTTGCCCGCCTTCTCACAGTCGGCTTTCCCGCTTTCTCACACCCGCCTTGCCCGCTTTCTCACACTCGGTCTGCCGAGTTTCTCACCCTCTGCCTGCCCGCTTTCTCAAACTCGGCTTGCCGGCTTTCTCACACTCAGTTTGCACGCTTTCTTACTCGGTTTGCTCGCTTTTTCACAATCAGTTTGCCCGCCTTCTCACACTCGACTTTCCCGCTTTCTCACACTTGCCTTGCCCGCTTTCTCACACTCGGTTCACTCGGCTTGCCTGCCTTCTCATGGTCGACTTTCCCCCTTTCTCACACTCGCCTTGCCCGCTTTCTCACACTTGTCTTGCCCGCCTTCTCACAGTCGGCTTTCCCGCTTTCTCACACTCGCCTTGCCCGCTTTCGCACTCTCGGTCTGCCGAGTTTCTCACCCTCTGCCTGCCCGCTTTCTCAAACTCGGCTTGCCGGCTTTCTCACACTCAGTTTGCCCGCTTTCTTACTCGGTTTGCTCGCTTTTTCACAATCAGTTTGCCCGCCTTCTCACACTCGACTTTCCCGCTTTCTCACACTTGCCTTGCCCGCTTTCTCACACTCGGTTCACTCGGCTTGCCCGCCTCCTCATACTCGACTTTCCCCCTTTCTCACACTCGCCTTGCCCGCTTTCTCACACTTGTCTTGCCCGCCTTCTCACAGTCCGCTTTCCCGCTTTCTCACACTCGCCTTGCCCGCTTTCTCACACTCGGTCTGGCGAGTTTCTCACCCTCTGCCTGCCCGCTTTCTCAAACTCGGCTTGCCCGCTTTCTCACAAAAAGTTTGCCCGCTTTCTTACTCGGTTTGCTCGCCTTTTCACAATCAGTTTGCCCGCCTTCTCACACACTGCTTGCCCGCTTTCTCACACTTGGCTTGCCCGCTTTCTCACACTCGGTTTGCCCGCTTTCTCACACTCGGTTTGCCCGCTTTCTCACACGCGGTTTGCCTGCTTTCTAACACTCAGTTTGCCCACTTTCTCACACTCAGTTTGCCCGCTTTCTCACACTCAGTTTGCCCACGTTTTCACACTCACTTTGCCCGCTTTCTCACACTCAGTTTGCCCGATTTCTCACACTTTGTTTGCGCGCTTTTTCACACTCGGTTTGCCCGCTTTCTCACACTCGGCTTGCCCGCCTCCTCACACTCGGCTTGCCCGCTTTCTCACATTCGGCTTGCCCGCTTTCTCACACTCGGCTTGCCCGCCTTCTCACACTTTGCTTGCCCGCCTTCTCACACTCAGCTTGTCCACTTTTTCACACTAGTTTGCCCGCTTTCTCACACTCGGTTTGCCCGCTTTCTCACACTCGGTTTCCCCACTTTCTCATACTCAGTTTGCCCACTTTCTCACACTCAGTTTGCTCGCATTCTCACACTCGGTTTGCCCGCTTTTTCACACTCAGTTTGCACGCTTTCTCACACTCAGCTTGCCCCCCTTCTCACACTCGACTTGCCCGCTTTCTCACACTCGGCTGGCCCGCTTTCTCACATTCGGCTTGGCCGCTTTTTCACACTCGGATTGCGCGCTTTCTCACACTCGGCTTGCCCCCCTTCTAACACTCGGCTTGCCCGCTTTCTCACACTCGGCTTGCCCGCCTTCTCACACTCGACTTTCCCGCTTTCTCACACTTGACTTGCCCGCTTTCTCACACTCGGTTCACTTGGCTTGCCTGCCTTCTCATAGTCGGCTTTCCCCCTTTCTTACACTCGCCTTGCCCGCTTTCTCACACTCGGTCTCCCGGATTTCTCACCCTCTTCCTGCCCGCTTTCTCAAAGTCGGCTTGCCCGCTTTCTCACACTCAGTTTGCCCGCTTTCTTATGCTCGGTCTGCTCGCTTTTTCACAATCGGTTTGCCCGCCTTCTCACACACGGCTTGCCCGCTTTCTCACACTCGGCTTGCCCGCTTTCTCACACTCGGCTTGCCCGCTTTCACACTCGGTTTGCCCACTTTTTCACACTCGGTTTGCCTGCTTTCTAACACTCAGTTTGCCCACTTTCTCACACTCAGTTTGCGCGCTTTCTCACACTCAGTTTGCCCACTTTTTCACACACAGTTTGCCCGCTTTCTCACACTCAGTTTGCCCGCTTTCTCACACTTGGTTTGCCCGCTTTTTCACACTCGGTTTGCCCGCTTTCTCACACTCGGCTTGCCCGCCTTCTCACACTTGGCTTGCCTGCTTTCTCACATTCGGCTTGCCCGCTTTCTCACACTCGGCTTGCCCGCCTTCTCACACTTTGCTTGCCCGCCTTCTCACACTCAGCTTGTCCACTTTTTCACACTCAGTTTGCCCGCTTTCTCACGCTCGGTTTGCCCGCTTTCTCACACTCGGTTTCCCCGCTTTCTCACACAAGGTTTCCTCGGTTTCTCACACTCAGTTTGCCCACCTTCTCACACTCAATTTGCCCGCATTCTCACACTCGGTTTGCTTGCATTTTCACACTCGGTTTGCGCGCTTTCTCACACTCGGCGTGCCTGCTTTCTCACACTCGGCTTGCCCGCTTTCTCACACTCGGCTTGCCCGCCTTCTCACACTCGGCTTTCCCGCTTTCTCACACTTGCCTTGCCCACTTTCTCACACTCAGTTTGCCCGCTTTTTTATACTCGGTTTGCTCGCTTTTTCAAAATCGGTTTGCCCGCCTTCTCACACACGGCTTGCCCGCTTTCTCACACTCGGCTTGCCTGCTTTCTCACACTCGGTTTGCCCGCTTTCTTACACTCGGTTTGCCCACTTTCTCACACTCGGTTTTCCTGCTTTCTAACACTCAGTTTGCCCACTTTCTCTCACTCAGTTTGCCCGCTTTCTCACACTCAGTTTGCCCACTTTTTCACACTCAGTTTGCCCGCATTCTCACACTCAGTTTGCCCGCTTTCTCACACTTGGTTTGCCCGCTTTTTCACACTCGGTTTGCCCGCTTTCTCACACTCGACTTGCTTGCCTTCTCACACTCGGCTTGCCCGCTTTCTCACATTCGGCCTGCCCGCTTTCTCACACTCGGCTTGCCCGCCTTCTCACACTCTGCTTGCCCGCCTTCTCACACTCAGCTTGTCCACTTTTTCACACTCAATTTGCCCGCTTTCTCACACTCGGTTTGCCCGCTTTCTCACACTCGGTTTGCCCGCTTTTTCACACTCGGTTAGCC